TTAAAAATTATATTTAATTTGTTTTATATTTCTTAATTTAAACCATTATCTATCTATACTATCTATATTATATTATAAAACTTGCTAAACGGTTATTATTGAATTTTTAGGAGGTATAAATTTTGATCCATTATGTATAGTTTTTGAACCTTTACAACCTCTACATTCAACATGACAATTAAAACTAAAATTGAGGAATACCCTGATAATCATTTACCTGGACGGTATGCACATGTGCATACAAGGGTTGGGTTCCGGTGAGAAGGGTAAGAAGGGCATTCCGCCCTTAGATCAATCCTAATTGAATCTCAACACTAATGAGATGCACTGAGATGCACCGGATCAATTCTAGTATCAAGCGCAATTCATAGGGTGGGAGTGAGATTAAATGTGTTCAACCAGATCCCTTCTTACATTTCTCACTTTAACTTCCATTCTCACGTGATCCTTCGTCTGTGCATAGATCTTAAATGAACTTCTCGCTTTTTCAATATATTTTATTTAAATAAAATATTGATTATCTTTTGAAAAAGGAGTGAATTAGAAAGTTTCAAAATGCCCCTCTTTTAACTTTCTTAGGTTCTTTAAATTAGTCACGATAATTCCTATATTTACATATGATTCTCTTATGATCTTGGCCATTGAAAAATCTTATCTAATGGTTGAGATCTCTTCTCAAATTTTTGGGGCTTCTCGTTTGAATGTTTCACTGTGTGTATATATATATATATATAAATGTATATCATACATGCACACATATATAATATAACTCAACATGTTCAATAGCTTTGTGAGAGCATACCAAGCCCTGCTGGAGAATCAGTCATCGATTGCAATAGTCTCTCTAAGATGCCGAATGTTTCGTTCACCATTGGCGAAAAGCTCTACACCCTCACTCCAGAACAGGTACGAGTTCTTCAACATCATGAATTATACTACCTCCGTTAAAGAAACAAGTGAACTTTTGACTTTAAGAATCATTCTTCAACATGTTATCTTTATGAATTTGAAGTTAAAATATTCGAGTTAGGATAACCAATTGCTGAGTTATTATATACATATTCACCATCTTCGATCATCAGTATATTCTGAAAACTGGAGAAGGCATTGCTGCTGTCTGCATTAGCGGTTTCATGGCGTTGGATGTTCCACCTCCAGCAGGTCCTCTATGGTAAGCATCATTTTCATAACGACCACCAACTCAACTCAGACTGTATACAAATAGAAACAAACATCTAGCACATGTAAAATGTGAATTCAGATATGTTCACTATGTGCTAGTCTCACCTCCCAAAAGACCAGTTTTTTGAATAGGGTTTACTGGGATCGGTTTGATTTAACTTTGTACACAGTATGCTTATTGGCGTATGATGTGTGATGCAGGATTCTTGGAGATGTGTTCATGGGTGTTTACCACACGGTGTTTGACTACGGAAATCTGCAGCTGGGGTTTGCCAAATCGGCGTAATTTAGTAGCTGATTAGCACAAAAACTGAAGGCTCATGTAAATAAATGGATCGATGGATGGATGTATGTTTATTGTAATGTTTGAACTGTGACGTGTGTCCTGGTATCGAACATGCTGTTAGGAGGTTGTATGCTATTTGCTGGACTCGTGGTCCTCCATGGTCTCATACTGGTAAATTAGTACTCTAAACATGTCCTTGAGAAAAATGATCGTGGTTCCTTTGTTTATCCTTGATCAATATCTGCTAGCAGGTGCATATGCAATTATGAAGAACAATCCATGCGTTAATATATTACCTATAATTATTTTTCATTCTGGTAAGTTACGTCATACCATTATGCAATCCAAATAATTGAAATCTTGTCCAATTTAGGTAAAGCTAAATTCGGTATTCCAGAAAACGGACTAAAAAGGCTAATGATTTGAATGTCTTAACGTAATCCATCAGGTAATTGGAGATGGCAAATCGGTTAAGCGGTCGACCTTGTAGTAGATTTGACTTGATATAGAAAGTGACTTATTCAGTAAGTTTTTAAGCAGAAATTTTATGCAAAAAAGCATATTTTATTCACATCTACCACTTGTAATTAAAAACATGTTGCTTCAATCTATGAAAAAACCTCTCAAACAAAAACCTTCCAAATCTATATTGGTTAATTAATTTACACAACTTTTGATGGGAAAAACACATCACAACGGTAACAATAATGGAATAAACCACCTTAGTTGGACAAAACTTTTCGGACTTATGGATACAAACAAATAAGGTATGCTAAATGCATGATGATAATCAGCCATGCAAATCAGAAATAAGCAACAACATAACACACATGTAACTCATTGATTTTAGCATGGAAACCTCTCACGATGAGAGTAAAACCATGAGACACTCAAGCCGCTTAAAGTCCACTACCACCAAATAAACAATACATGCCTTCTCTACATAAAACTAGAGACACAATCATCATAAAACTAGAGACACAATCATCAAACCAAAAGGAAAAGAGGAAGAAATATCACCCATAAAACTACTATTTGTCGAATAGCAAAAGGATGTCTTCTAGGCCTCCAAAACCAATCTCCACCGTTGAGAATGTAGGTAAAGATTTCGTGAAGCTACTGTCAACGATGCATGACGACCCGAAGGTACACGAAACAGCACGGCTGTGCTTGCCCGAAAAGTAATCGAACTTTTTTTTGTCTTTTCTCACTTTTGTATTTTGTCCTAAAATACAAGACTACATATAGCTTGTATTGGTTCACTATTGTTGACCTATATTAACTATTACTTATGGGCAAAAATAATTAAATAAAACCCAACAAATCTCCCCCTTTTGTCTATGAAGAAGAGTTCACCATCCTGGCGATCGAACAACATACCTTGAGGCTTTCCCTTGCTAAGGCCTTTGTCAACACATCAGAATCATTATCAGGGTTTGAACTTTACCAAGTTCAAGCAATACATCTTCAAGAGCTTCTTGGATGTGGTGATACTTCATCTTCATATCTTTTGTTTTTTCATGAAAGGTTGAATTTTTCGCAAGACAAATGGTACTTTGATTATCATAAAGAACCACATATTGCTTTTCCCTAAAACCAAGCTCCTTCAAAAAACTATTTCAACCAAAGTAATTCTTTGCACACTTCATTTTGCATGATATACTTAGCCTTGGTTGTAGACAAGGCAACACATTTTTTCAGCCTTGATTACCATGATACTCCCCCCCTACAAAGATCATCAAATATCCAGAAGTGGACCTCAAATTGTCTATTTTTCCTGCCATATTACAATTAGTATACCCAAAAAGTATTGACTTTTCATTCCAAAATATTATATACCAAATTTGGAAGTACCTCGCAGATAGTGGATAATCCATTTAACTGCTTCACAGTGCTTTTTACCCGGATCTGACTGAAACCGACTAACAACACCTATTGCCTGGGCTATATCAGGCCTTATACATACCATCATATACACCAGGATACCAATAGCTGATGCATACAAAACTTTATCCATTTTTTCAATCTCTTTTGAAGAGGGACAATCTTTATTAGTTAGCTTAAAGTTAGTAGTTAGGGCTGAATTGACCACTTTAGCTTTATCCATGTTGAATCTACAAAGCACCTTCTTGATGTATTGCTCTTATGATCCGTATGCCAAGAATATCTTTTTGGCCCTAAGTCTTTCATTGCAAAAGACTCGCTCAACTAGTGCTCCAGTTTGACAATTCTTTCTTTATTCATGCCAAAAATCAACATGTCATCAACATATAACAAGAAAATAATGAAATCATCATCCTCAAACCTATGAAAGAAAACACAGTGATCTAAAGTCATCTTTTAGTAGTCGTGCTTCCCCATAACCGACTCATAGTTCTTGTACCAATGTGAAATCCTTCAAGTTTCCCTATGTAGATTTCCTTATCCAAGTCGCAATGAAGGAAAGATGTCTTGAGATCCATTTCTCAACCTCAAGATCAAGGCTAACTGATAAGCCAAGAACCACATAGTAGATCCCATCTTCACGACTGGAGAGAAAATTTCCTCAAAGTTAGTACCTTTTCTTTGACTAAAGCCTTTCACCACCAATCTAGCTTTGTACCTGGTCGTGAATTATGTTTTTTCTATCTTCACTTTGTAGACCTATTTGTTCTTCGAAGCCTGTTTATCCATTTGCGACTTTACCAACTCAAAGGTATTGTTCTTATGCAAGGAAGTCATCTCGTCTTGCATTGATTGAACCCAATCTTTCTTATGCTCATGTTTCATGGCCTCTACATTACACTCAGTTCTCCCTTATCTGTCAGTAAGACATACTCATCAGCAAACATGTACTTCACCACATGGATTCTCCCTTCACTGAGAATAGTTGTTTTCTATCTAAAGCATCTTCAGATATCAACTGGTTATGACACAAACGACTTTCTCATCTCAACTTCAAGATGCTTAACGAGCTGTCTCGAAAGGATCTTGTCACTGGACTTTCTCAGCACTATTTTGCAAAAAATCTCTTTGCGCAACGTGTTAAAAGGGAAAGCAGACAAATGCTAGCTTTAAGTCGAAGCAAGTCGCTTCAGTGACTTCTCTGCTTCAGCTATTGTACATAGATTTATTTGGTCCTATCTACGTGCAATCAATAGCTGGAAAAAAATATACGCTCGTTATCGCTGACGAGTTTTCCAAGTACCCTTGGGTCTTCTTTCTTAGATCTAAGAGTGATGCACTTGAAGAAATCATCTCGTTCGTCAAACTCATAGAAGTACTGAACAACATCAAAGTACGGTTTATCAGGAGTGATCATTGTTAGACCCCATAAGTATTATGTATGAAGTAATGAAGACAAACAGGTGATGAAGAACCAGAAGGCCGATGGAAGACTTCAAGGAAAAATGACTAAGTCTGAAGAACAATAAGAGGGTCGATGAACTGACTACAGATCCGATGGAAAGTGCATCTCCATAACCCCTCTTGGCACTAACACTTGGAGTTTCCTTTACCAGTTCAACCAGAGGCAAGTAATGAAGATATGAAGATAAGGTTGAACTCATATCCCCTGGAAGATAGCTGGAGATGACCAATCAACAGCTGGATTCTACAAAAGTTATCTTGTTTTAATGTTTATCCATGTTTTAGATAAGCTTTATCTATTAGTAGAAGATTAGCTAAAGAGTCTCACTAGATAGTTATCTTCTTATTAGATTACTAGTATAAATAGGTGGTTAGGCCTATTGTAATTGAATATACTTTACGTTTTTCATAATCATTGGAATAAAGTGAAAATCTTTGGCACTCAAGTTTATCCTTTGAATGTTCATACATTGTTCTTGAGTGTTCATCATTTTATTCATTCAAACACTATAATTTGGTTATTCTTAACTTAATTATTAGTGTTATTGAGAAAGCTGGGATCAACAATTGGTATCAGAGCCAATTGATTGTTTTTCCAATCAAACGATCATCAAAAATCTCTCAATTCACGTTTTTCATAAATTATCTTCTCTAAAACATAAATTTTCTCTCTTTATAAAAAATCTTAATGGCCAACTGGAATTCCGCTTATAGTGTTGGTTCCTTCACCAAACATCCAACTCTTCAAAGAGAAGAGTACACACAATGGAGGATACAGATGGTGAACTTTCTGGAAGGGATGGACATAAATCTTTTGCGATCTGTCATGGAGGGTCCCTATGTTCCACAGACTCTTGTTCCAAGACTCCCAGGAACAAATACCACAGCAGAAATTCCTGCCTATTACATGCCCAAGGATGAGAAGAATTGGGATGAAGACGACATAGAGTGGGTTGAGACCGACAAGAAGGCCAAAAGACTGATAATCATGGCCATACCCAATGAAATCTTTCAATCCCTTGATGCATGTTCCACAGCCAAGAAACTATGGGATGAGCTGGCAAGCCAATTGGAAGGAGGGGCAAAAACAAAGAAGAATCGTAGAGCCCAATGTCTCAATGAATACACCAACTTCAAAGCTCTTCCTGATGAACCGATTCAGAAGACATACGATCGTTTCAACACATTGATTAATCAATGTCGTCGAAACGATATCTCCAGAACAAAGGAAGAAAACAATGTTTTATTCCTTAAAAGTCTCGGCGATGAATAGACACAGCTGTCGATGTCCCTTCAAGCAAATCAGGACTTAGACGGCTGGTCACTCCATGACGTATACGGAATGCTTGCTGCACAAGAGAACAATATCATGAAGAAAAAGGTGTCCATCGGTGGACCCCTGGCTCTTGCAGCTGAAGAAAAGGACGTTTCATGGACCTCCACTAGAGATCACAAGAAGAAAGGAAAGAAAGCACTGGTGGTGGAATCAGAATTTGAAGAAGAAACATCTGAATCAGATGATGATATCAAAGCCTTTGTCAAATCTTTGGCCTTGATTACAAAGCAGTTCCAGAAAAAGTTCATCAAGAAACCCAATGAACGAAGAGAGTTCAAGAGGGAAAGGTACCAGCCATCCTATGAAAGGAAGCCATCTAAATTTCRTYAGAGGGAAGACAGAAGAGATGGAAGAGAAGAGAGAGAAGACAGAAGAGAAGATATAAGAGAGAAAAAGAAAGAGGACAAAGATGGAAGGAAAAATGACCTCCACTGCTTCAGGTGCGGAAAAATCGGTCATTTTTCCAAAGAATGCAGAGGACGACTGGTAAAGGATGCTGACTATTACAAGAATAAATACAAGTACAATCCTAGAGAGCGAAGCCTGATGGCTAAGAAAGAAAACTGGGTTGAAGAAGACACAGCTCATCT